ACGACTCTGCCACGTGATTCCAACCGGTTTGCCTCGCGGTACCTGCTCAGTAACTTTCAGATATACTGTCGGCCGCCCTGAGAATTTCATCCCTCCTGCCGTCCTCGCCATCCCTAACATCGTCTCTCTTCGTACTCCCATCCTACAAGAGTGAGGCAGTCCTACCCCCTAGTGTTCAGTGGGTAAATAGCACAAGAGACAGAGATGGGAGAAACAGGGGCAGAAGGAATAAGATTGTGGGAACACGCTGTAATCAGCTGTTCGGAGCTTGTTGTCAGCCGCGGACCAACGACAATTCATTCCCCAAAGGATTCATTGCATGTTCAAGTTGATGTCGTTCAACCTGAACAGTCAGCAAGTCGGGTTTGTCAGCATTCAGGGAATGGGACGTTCCGAGTTGCGACAATTCATCCACAAGACCACAGGGAGGAAAATTATATGCAGGCCAAATTGGCCTAACTGCGGTCTACATCATCCAACAAGTTTCTCCGCAGGAACTAACCCGACCGAAGAGCGACTTGTGATTGGAAGGGCGACGCGACGGACTTTACGAAATGGCCGATGACAGGTAGGGCGAGACGACTGGAAAAGTCGCCGGAGCCACTCGGCACCCTAGCAGGCCGCAGACAGCAGACCAGAACAATCGTGGAACAACTTTGCCTTTGCCGAATACCGTATTCCCGCAAGTTAGGTCATCTCTCGCGAGTTGGGCCGTGAGCCCAAGAGCAGAGGAAAGGTAAGCATCCACAAGTTCCATTGACAGTAAGATAATTAACCGACCCCTCTAACGAAAGTACCAGGCTTGAGTAGGAAATATCCCGCCCACCCCGTGGCTTACGCAGGGCATGGAAAGCTACCTGGATGGTACGGATGTTTACCTAAGGCAAGGCAACTCGTACAGTCGTATCCGTACGTACGGAGTACTTGCTGCCAGGAAATCCCTCTTTTCCTTCCGGCGGGAAGGGATGGGTACGTATGCGGGCTTTCCTCGGTCAACACGTACCGCGACTCCCGGTGTTTGACTTACATAAGCCCGATGGCTTGGCGCGTCTGGCATGCGGCGCCAGATGCCCTGTGCTGCAGCTATGGCGGAGTCTGTGCGCGGTTCTGGAAGACGACCGTGACAGCAGACACGGATGTATTTCACTCAACCAAGGACATGTTACTCGCAGCGTGATGCGTTCCATCTACTGCTGCCCCGAGTTTGGATGTGTGGCTGCTTTGTCACTGGCAAACCCAACCCAACATTTGGAATTGGAGAAGAGACGCTTTCAACGTTGCAGGTCTGTTCATTCTTTACTAACGAAAGGTAGGTTTGATGTAGGCGGCTGTCAATATCGCATGATGGAGCGGTAGTCCGCGCGCACTCCAGTAAGCACCACTGAGTTGACTGTAACGTTGCTCAGTCTCTTTTGTTCAACATTGAGCTTGCATTGGCGAGTGCTCAGTGTGGTCTCATGCAAATCGACCCTTTGGAGAGTATCACGTGAAGTTTCCGAGGCTATCGACATGCCGGCTACGACCGATTTACAAACCTATTTTCTCCAGGCAGTTCCTGTCACCACCCATCATACTGGTATTCCATAGAGGATATACGGAAACGGAGAACGGGTGAGGTATGGTTGTGATAAGACACTTGATCCTTACATATGGAGCATCAAGTCGTTTACTGAAGTGAACCCAGTACTCAAATCACGATATTGTCATTGAGACTCCAGTTCCAATGTTGTCAAGATCTGCAGAATGAATTCATGAAGCCATTATTTGAATGTGACAGTACCTGTACCGCTGACGGCTGAGTTATATACTCGTCACTCAGCCGACCCTTGTGGTTCGAGGTATGCGACAGGCATCCTCACAATCATCATGAAGACTTGAACAACTTCCCACCCTTCCAGACGTGGGTAATATTCTCCTTCTCCGTCAAAATCTCAATATCCTCCAGCGGATTCCTCGCAACAGCAATCAAATCCGCATCATATCCTTCCCTAACCTGCCCGCTCAACGGCGCCATCCCCCCCAAGACCTCAGGCGCGTTCGCCGTCCCCGCCTCAATAGCCTCCAGCGGCGTCATACCGTTCTTCACAGCCCAGTGCAGCTCCCGCGCGTTCTTCCCGTGCGCCAACGGCTTCGTCCGGTCGCTGCTCCACGTGTCCGTCCCGAGCGCGACCTTGACGCCCCTCCCGATGGCGAGCCGGTACGAGTCAGAGGCCCTCTGCACGAGCTTCACCAGTTTCCTCGCCAGCGGCGGCGGCAGCTGCGACGGGTCCGCGGCCAGCGTCATGATGGCGTGCTGCGTTGGCACGAAGATGGCGTCCCTTGCGAGCATGAGGTCGACGGCCTCATCGTCGAGGTAGCACCCGTGCTCGATGCTCTTGACACCCGCGCGCAGCGCGGCCATGATGCCCGCCTTCCCGATGGCGTGGGCGCCTACGGCGCGCCGGCTGCGGCTGGCCTCTGATACGATTGCCTCCAGCTCCTCGTCGGAGAATTGCCTGTCTTCCGGGTCGTCGAGCAAGCTGAGCACGCCGCCGCTGGAGCAGATCTTGATGCAGCGCGCGCCGCGGCGGACGAGGAGGCGCACTTGTTTCGTGCAGTCCTCTGGCCCGTCGGCGATGGAGCAGGCGCCGCCGCCGCATTTCGCAAAGTCGAGGACCGTCTGCATGGGGAGGGTGTGCTGGTCGCCGTGGCCTCCGCTGATGGACATGGCGGCGATGGAGGAGTAGACGTTGGGACCCACGAGGCGGCCCGAGTCGATCCCCGGACGGAGGTCGCCGGCGTAGCCGCCCAGTTCGCGGACGGAGGTGAACCCGGCCATGAGGGTGGCCTCGAGGTCCTGGACGATGACGGCGCCGATGAGGGCGTTGGAACCGGGGAGGACGTTGAAGATGCCGTCGCTGAAGCCGGTGACGACGTCGATGCCGAGGAAGTGGACGTGGACGTCCCAGAGGCCTGGCATGAGGACGGGGACGTGCAGAGGGGTGAGGGAGCGGTATTTTGAGGGGAGGCTGTCGCGGGGGCCGACGTGGATGATTTTGTCATCTGAGATGGCGACGGCAGCGTTGGGGACTGGGATGCCGCGGCCTGGGATGAGGAGGTCGGCGGTGATGAGGGTGATTGCTGGATCTCCTTCTGGCTCCTCTTGTTCTTGCGGCGAGGCCATTGTCTGGGCTTGGTGGGTTTCTGAAGGCGGGATGCCTCTCGGTTGTGCTGTTGATACGGGTTGCTGCATCTCCTGAGGTCGATGTGGCACGCGCATCTTGAGGACTTGCACGACGTTGAAAGGTCAATATATGTTCAGCTCGCAGATAGCTTTATTCTTGAAGCAAAAGCACTAGCAGGCGCACGCAATTGAGCTGGAGCTTCAAACAATTAGCCAAGGTGAAACTACTTGGGATGAACTTAAGTATGACTTACGCATCTCATACCGTTATCATGAAAGTCTATGTTCGGAGTGTCATCATTTAGTCAAGTTTGAATATGTGTGGTTTGGTGAGCGCGGGGTAGCGAATCCTGACCATTCTGCATTGCTGCAATCTACCATGTTACCAACCTCTCCCTCTCTCCACCCATGGTTCCTGGTACAGGCGCTTGAGTTGATCAATGGATTGTCGCTGCAGATACATGCAGGGGATGCGATATAGCGGCACGGTCTGATAACCGACCTTCCAAAAGTAGGAACGCGAAGTAAGCTCAGCTTGAGACAGGTGTGTGCCCTTTACGTGGGCGTTGGGTCCCACAAAGCTATTCCCTCTGCATTTCTTCTGTTTATCGTCTCATTTGGCCTCGAGATCTTTATGGCCGTCACCGTCTCCGTGGTTCTCGTCGTTGTTATTAACTCGATCTAAGAAGACCGGCCGGGATCTACAACGGGCATTCTGATATCATAGCTACCCTAGAATAAGGTATGTCGGCGATACCTCACACAAGAACATAGCTCTAGTCAACTTTATATTACGATATTCTTCATCGACCATAGCTACTTGGCTTGTTCGTGTGACTTGCTCGTGAACATGTTCACGATGAACGCTCGTCCTTGATTGATGATACCTGTCGTCCACGTTATCCCAAACCTCTTGATATGACCTTAATGAAGATGGAGTGGCTTGGAGCGGCGGGGATGTATAAAGTCATAGGCGATGCACATTGGACGGTCGACTCCTCTAGATGTCAATGGCAGGGTAAATCGTCTCAGATGGAGGATCTATATTCTTGAGCAGCGGATTGGTCTCTTGATTTACCAGGTACGGAGAATCTTGTACGTTTGAGCCACTCCGTCTTTCAGTCCGACTATCTAGCACACCTCCGTTGAAGACTTCCGTGAAATACTGGCTCTGAAAAGTACATCTGGTCTGTTGAATAACCCGAAGTCTCCCAATAACTTTCGAGTAACTTGAGGAAGAATTGAAACAAATCATCGCAGTCAGTGTAAGCATCTTTATACCAGAGATACAGTCCATACATGATCACAAATATTCCGCGAAGAGCAACTGTTATCGGGCAACCTTGTCCACCCCATGTCTCCACACAAGCTCGACCGCAAGCACCTCCGACAGGGGTACACCTCTAACAACATCTAAAGCTTCAACCACACCACAACCCTCACATATACGCAGCTCACCTCCAAAAACCCTCACATCGCCCTGCCCTCATCAAGTCCACCACACCAAACACCCCCCTCTCAGAGATGAACACCCCAGCCCGTACCCTCCTCCGCCGCATCGCACACACGACCCCGCGACCTCTCACCTCAGCGTACTCACCCCGGCTCTCAAAAACAGCAACAGCATCTCCTGCACCACTACAAAGCATCATCCAGCAACGGTACCAGAGGACAATGTCAACCACATCCACCGCCGCCGCGCCCACGCCGCGCTTCTCTAAGGGCTCCGATGAGACTTCCCTCTCCTCGACGCTCGAGACGCTATTGGGACAGGGACTGGGCTGGGCGCTGGTCAATGACGGCGAGGCCGTCGAGCGAAGCTTCAAGTTTAAGAACTTTGCAAAGACGTGGGTGCGTATCTTTATCCCATGCCCTTTCTTTCTTGACAGACCTCTTTATACTATATGCTACAATTTCCTCATGTTGTAATGAAACGTCTACGAAAGAAGAAAAAGAAGAATGGTAGAGAACGACTGCTGACGAGTATGAACAAAAAGGACTTCATGACAGCCGTGAGCTTACAATGTAAAATCCACAACCATCACCCAGAGTGGTCAAACGTATGCTCAAACCCCCTCTCACCTTCCCCACCCAACTTGCGCAGATACCCGAGAAAGGACGAGAGTCTCTCATCCAAAGTCATGAGCAAGGCTAAAAGCAGAGGAACAGGTCTACAACACAACTTTTATCCGGTGGACGACACATAACCCCAAGGGCCTGTCGGACAAGGACCTCAAGCTTGCTCTCATCTGCGACGCGCTGGCCAAGGACTTTGGCGAGGTCGAGGTGCCGGCTTCAGAGGCCACGACCGGCGGCGGAGAGACTGTCAGCTGCGGTATCCGGGGCCTGGCTGATAAGGCGGCGGGTACGGCTGGAGACTGTTGTACGCCGAAGAAGTAGTGTGTCTAAGCCGTGGCCCGGATGGTGAACCTCACTTCGGATCCTAGGTCCGGGGGGTTTTTTTTTTTTGGCTGGGCTTCTTCCTTGTACAATACTGTAAACACGTGTGGAATATACCAAATACGTAACGTGGACTATTAGAAGAACGAATGTTGTGCCATGATTAAGTAATCTACTACAATGCCAGTTTTATGGGCGGCCTTCCCAATATATACGACAGAATTCGTATAAGTGGTTCATCTTTTTTCGCACAACCGTCAATACCTCTTTCAAACGCCGCTCCAATGATAATTACGTGACTTTGATGAATGGCCTCGGTTGTCGAGGTCCGTGTCGTGTCGCTTTCCTTGCGGTTTTCCTTTCCTGCCGCGTTCTATACATCGTATCATGAGACACTCCCAGCCGGTGTGTCCAGCAACGCCCTCAACCACCATTTGTGAGCGCATCCATCCTCTCTTTTAGGGTGCGCACACAAGGCCCGGTGCTTGGCGACATGCGTTGTTCATGCTGCAAAAGACGTTACAGCCGCAGCAACAATGCGTTTACTGAGACTTTTGCGCCTTGATGGCCTGGATCTTCTTCTCGCGGCGCTTCTTGTGGGCCTCGAGGCCGGCCTCGGTGTCGAGGCAGTAGTCCCACCAGCGGAAGCTGGAGGCGTAATTGCCGATGAACTTCTCGTGGTGGAGATCGTGGTGGTCGGCACCGGCCCAGAAGGGCAAGAAGTGGCGCAAGCTCCAGGGGAAGTCGTAGCCGCTGTGGGCGTCGATGGCCTGGAAGAGGCGGAGGACGATCCAGGCGTACATGGTGAGGAGGTGGAGGTCGCCGGTGAGGGTGACCCAGAAGATGGGCGAGCCGACGATACCGATGCCGAGGAGCATGACTTCGATCGGTGAGGCGTATTCGGCGGCGAGACCGAAAGGCGCAGAGTAGTAGTGGTGAAGCTTGTGGATCGCCTTGTAGAGAGGGCCGTAGTGCAGGGCGCGGTGGAACCAGTAGTGCCAGGTATCCTCCATGACGAAGAAGATGGAGATTTGCATAGCCATCTTCCAGAGAGGCGGGAAGGGGACGTTGTACTCCATGCCGCACCACGTGGCGAGGGGGTGGAAGAGCCAGATCTGGGGAAGTTCGACGGTGAAATGGCTGATGAGGACGACCATGGCGCAGTCCCATTGCTCCTTTAGTGTCGGCATTTTTTGCTATTCGAGAGTCAGTGAATGAGTCCAGAGTATGACGACGAGAGGATGCGGAGGGTTGCTCACAGGCTGGATCTTGTACTTGTGGAACCAGGGGATGAGGTCGAAGATGATAAAGGGCAAACTGCGGCCAAAATAAACGGTCTCGTGCATGACGAAGCTCATGATGCCGGTAGCGAGGGTGTCGTTTTGCATCCAGAGATACCAAGCCTAGAAAGAAGAAGGTGTCAGTCGCATCGTAAGGGCAATGAGTGGCACGCGACGAGGTGTGAACATACGGCCCAGAGGCGCTCAAAGTAGTTGAGCTGGACATTGTACTTGGAGACCTCCTCGAGAACACTAAAGTACGGTTGTGTGTGGTTGAAGGCGGTGTTGATGACGGTCGAGTTGCTGTTTCGCACAAACCAGGTCAGTGACTGTTTGCTTCAAGATCGTGCTCGAGGGACTAAAGGGGGCGCCGTGGATCGGGGAGAGAAACGGGGCAAAACTCACATGAAAGCGGCCATGATGGCGGGGAGCGCAAGTTTGCGACTTCGGGGCTTCAACAAGTGAGGAATTACAGATGTGTATGGGAAAAAAGCCAAAGTTGGCGAAGAGGAAGCTGTGATGGAAAGAAAAGACAGTCGCAACTCATACAACAATGCGCCGAGGTGGTGTTTAGGTGGCGATGGGAGGTTTAAGGGAAAAAAGGACGGCAGGCGGCAAGGTCAAGGGTTCAGGGCCGGGTCTTGTTGAGGTTTTATCCATGGATCATTTCGGTTGACGGGGAAAGGAAATGGCACCTGCGTCTTGGTGCTTGTCAGTCACCACAGAGAGAGAAAAAAATACTTCTATTACCTTAACTAACGGTTAGTTCTGAAATTGTGCTATGAAAACGCCCCTGTGCATCTCTCACCCTTTCTGGGCGACAGCGTGGGGACGTGGATTGGGGATTTGGCCATTCTTGTGTCATGAGCCAATGAGAAGCTGCATCTGGAAATCGAACCATGCAGCTCGTGGGTCCTTCCGTCTTCCGTGGTGGGCTTTGGCCAGTAGGAAGCAGGCGTGCCCTGGCGACTGGGTCGGGCGGTGTGCGAGATTTCGGGAGGCAAAAGGGTGTGTGACAGCTGCGCCAGGCGTTGGCTCTTCCCTCGCTGCTGATCGTAGGGGGGCCGAGGGGGGGAAAAGCCGAACAGACGGGAGGCACGGGGCATGGAAACATTCATGGATGGGGACAAAGCTCCTTTTTTCTTCTGCTGTTTCCAAGCTTCCATACCTCCATCTTCCATCAAAGCAAGCTGAGGTAAGGTAAGGTACGTAGAGGTAAGGTATCCGTAAAGCACTTGAATTTGGGTGGCGGCAGTCTAATTCAATGTCAACCTTTTGAACTCACTCAGCTCTTAATTGGAGTCTCGAGCTGCGATCCAATGTCAGCATCATCTTCTCAGAAGAAGCACTTATGCATGAACATTGCGCCCCGTCACGGGCAATCAAAGGAGGCCGATATCACTCACCCTCCAGGTGGGCAGGGCTGTCTTATCGCCATGCATGGAGTACCTCGCACCTCGACTTTTTGTCACCTTTTGCGCGGGTACGTACCCTCTCTCAACACGAATACGATGAAGGAGGGGCACGTTTCCAGGTCTGCACGTCGTACGTCTTTGGCAAAGGAATTCGCTTTGGCCTGGCGCTAACTGTTTGCCCCCATTAGCTCGGACACAGATGCTAGAAAAACCACAAGTCAGAACAATCTTCAATGACAGTGACATGCTCCACGCCTTCAAATCTACTAAATCCGATTGCCGATGAGATCCATCTGACCTCCTCCGCGGCGTGGCCCTGGCCCAGCTGTCAAAAGCCCCGCTCCAGCACGGCAAAGCATGGGGTGCCGTGGATGCTCATGTCAAAATGGCGTGTTCCGGTCATGCTTGATCCAATGCAAGGCCACCTCGAATTGTCTATCTCGGTATTGGCTGGTAGTCGTGAAGCGTATGAATGTTCAATCAACAACATTCCAAAAGTCGTCATCGCCCTTTTGTGTTGAACACAAGTTGAATCCAGGAGCTTATCAAGCTTTCTCGTCCTAACATTAAGCTAGACTGATAACCCTGGGTCCTTACATCACCTTAGTCTGCGGAAGCCATGAACCTATTGTCCATCGGCTGGATAAGACAGGTCGAGCTTGCTCCTACCTTACAATGTACATCTAAACGCTACTATATCTGCAGCACTCATATGCCGAATAGTCATGTGCGGGTACATGGCTCATAGACGCGATCAAGGCGCAATACACGCTGAAGACTTTTGGTCCAGCCAAGTTCTTCTCTTCTTGAAATGAACCAGGAGTCAACTCTACGGGGAATTTGTAAAGCCATTTACGGCTACACAGCAAAATGAGAGTTATCTATCATGAGTATAGGGTGAGTTACGACCTCTCGTGGCTTGACATTCACATCTCAGCATCGACGAGGCGTTCACTTGCGAGTAACGAACGAGCTGGGTCCTTGGCGGCGTCGTTACAGATAGCCGTTACTGAATCGGATCTGGTAGGTGTATCCGTAAAGATTTCGTTCAGACTTGGAAATCATCTGCTTCCTGACAACGCCTCTTCGTTTGTTCAACGATATGATCTGGATGGCTTGGCAGGCATACTGTCGAATCGAAACTGCCTGAAGACGTCGAAAGGACCTAGAAGAATGGGATCTGCCTGTAAGGAGCTCGAATAGCCAAGGCAAACGAGGATCCTTTTCTATAAGACCTGACTATGCCTTCTCATGAAAGCAGACGCAGCACACACGGCCTCCCTTACCTAGAAGGTTGATGATTAGCTCATCTGCAGATACCACTCCAGCGGTCCAGCTCCGTCAGCGGCGGTGGCTGACTAAGGCACGCAAGGGGACCCCACCTGTCATCCCACGTTCTCTCCAGTCGCCGCTCACCGCGTTGTCGGCTGCAGGCGCTCGCCCAAGTTGCCCGGGGCATTCGCTTACCTGATGACGTCTAACCCAAACTTCTACTGCATTCTTCCATCAAATCCATCCTCACACGACTGCAATCCTCACAGCCTCGAGTGTTCAACGCAAAATCAAACCCATGAAAGTGGAGGAGGAGTGCTCTCTGAGTGAGAAGCTATAATGTCTGTTGTTGCCGAGTCAGTATTCCGTCCCAACTTTCCTTGACTTCCCGTCATCCCAAACAAAACATTTGAATGTTGACATCAACCCTTCCCTGCACGCAGCCAAGTTCGCCGCTTAGATGCGCAGCTGGATCGGATTCCACTGGGTCTGAGCCTATCTCAAGAAGATGGCGAGCTGTCTGCCGAAGAGCATGGCATTTTTCACTCGGCCACCGTAGACGCACTGTCGTCGCCAAGGATCGAGGAGCTTCTACATATTGTTAGGGCTCTGTCCACCACCTCAACCTCGCTTTCCCTACTCCCCGCTCAGAGGATTCGCTCTCTACTGCAAGATTCCAAACTTGCAGAATGGGACTTCCAGGCGGAGCAGGATGACGAGGCTAGCCGAGGCCCGTACCAGTCGGAGATCGAGTGGCTACTCGTCAGCAAGGCTACCGTTCAGACTTACGGTATCATTTTGAACACACTCCTGGACCAGATCATCCCTCTCAGTGACGAGATGTGGTACTGGGACGAGGTTTTGAGCTCGTATACTTACAGCAGTCTCTACACGGTCCAGACGTCGCCATTGCGCTTGTGGGCCTTGACCAAGGACGTCTATCACGAAAGCAAACACCGCATTCGAAATCTCAGCCAAGCGCCGGGAAATATTGTTGCATCGACACGGACAGGATTATCGCAGCAATGGAAACAATTTTACGGCATCGTACGGGACAGCATTCGGGACTCATCGATCACGACCCTTCAGCGCAAGGTCCTATCGCCCGTGGCCCTTAGCCGTGGCGAGGCACGGAGGAAACTGGCACATCTCAGACGCTTGCGGGATATGATCGCAAGCGGCCTTGGTGTGCTCGTCGACGAAGGTTTGACCTTTGGAGGAGACGACGACGACGATAAGAGCGAAGCGGGCGTCAACAGCCATGACTGGAAAGGCGTGGTTGAACGAAGCGTGGCTCTCATGGACATGGTTCTTAAGGAGGCCTTAACTCTGGAGTCTGGCGTCAACGAATTCGAGGACAAGGTATTCGCTGGAGTCGAGGAGGACCCCGAGCTTAGCATTCACATCGAGGACGCCAACGCTCTGGAGAAGCCTTCCGTGCTCGCTAGACGTCTCCTCAACCTTCTGGATAACGGCCTTCCCAACCACGTCATGTCTGCGCAGCTGCTTGTTCGAGAGAACGGCCGTCCGTCGAGATTCATCCGATACTGGCTGCCTGCGACTGCAGCTCTGCTGTCTTCGACGACTGTCCTTCGACTTCTTGCCAATAGACGTGCAGAAATAATTAGCTGGATTCGGGACATTGGATCTACGATGCGAGACTTTTGGTTTAACTGGGTTATCGAACCGACACGGAAGATTGTTGGAACTATTCGACACGACACAAGCAGCGAGATCGCTATCATGAGCCGAGACAGCCTCAAGGCCGATCGGGAAAGCTTGGAGCGCATGGTTGTGGACTTTGCTTTGGATAAGCCTCACTTTGCAGGCGACGGCTCGTCCCTCACCGACGCCCAGATCGAAATCATTCGTACCAAGGTCAGCGAGGGAGACGTCACGCCGGTCTTGCGTGCATACGAAAAGGACTTACGGACTCCCTTTGTTGGTGCGGTGAAGGGCGACCTCGTCCGATCACTGCTCATCCAAGTGCAGAAGACTAAGGTCGATCTAGAGGTGGCCATCAGCGGCATCGACTCTCTCCTCAAGAGCCAGGAACTGGTGTTTGGGTTTGTGGGTCTGACGCCTGGTGTGCTTGTCTCTATTGGTATTGTTCAGTATCTTCGCGGCATATTTGGTGCTCGCAAGGGAGCCCGCCAGAGCCGCAAGACTGGACAGAGCATCCGAGTGCTGCGCAATATTGACCGGATCTTTTCAGAGGCGACGCCGTCTCAGAACAACCTCCTCTCCTACAAGGACCACGGCCTCCTGTTGTGCGAAGTCCACGTGTTGCGCAACCTAATGCAGAGAGTGCTACCTCGCGACAGGCAGCGAGAGTTTCTCGAGGATTTGGATGATCTTGCAAACCTGAAGGGAATTCAGGTGCAGGTTAGAGCTTTGGATCGCATTCGCTGGGCGTACGCCAGGTGGCTACAGTAAAAAGAACGAACAACGGAGAACCTCGGGCGCAATAATGATTCGCATGGATACACGGTCTTACGGATTTGAGCTTCAGCATTCAGGTTACTTTACTACGCACAGCGGGAACGGCCTTTTTTCGGTGGAACCTGTACCACAACTGTACACCACTGGAGGCATTCATGAATTGTCAACGGAGCATCGCACATTGGTACCGGAGCTTAGCAGGCGGCATTTGTCACTAGGAATGGTGTTTAGACCAAAAGTTGAATTGAAGCGCAATTGAACGGGTGATGTACTGGCAACGAGTGAATGTGAGGGAGACTTTACAACGTCTCTTGTGACCATGGAACGGCCGCCACCCAAGATGCTCGGGCGACGGACGCGTGACCTAGTTCTGGCTGGATCTGGACGTGGACCCTGAGGCGAGACAGTGCGATGACGTTTGGCGTGGCTTCGTTGGTAGCCTCCTGAGTCCTGACAAGTCTGGTGAAGGCGGGAGACCGAGCACATTTGGCAGCAAAAGGGGTGTAGTGCCACGGCAGAGACAACGCATCAAGTTTCGAGAAAGCAACTATGTAGGTTGGTGGACATGTACTATCTGGTGGCTGAGGAGGTGTTGACATGTCACTTCTTTGGTGAGCGAGCCTTGCATACCCAAGACGAATCGTCCTTTCGCGGTTACCATCATGGGAGGACGCTGGATTGCTGTGTATCCCCCCCAAAACTGCACTCGGTTTTCTGCAACAAGGTGCTTGGATCGACCAGGGAAGTTTTGCTTCTTTTAACCTTTCGCTCCCCTCCGACGCAGATCCGACGTCGTCGCGTCTTCTCCCCCTTGGCGGGCACTGTGCCTTGGGCAACTCCCTACCGTGAGTCGTGACTACCTTAGTTATCTGATTTCACCGCGGCCTAGTGCCGGAAGCAGCTGATTTGGATCGTGGACCACTGCGGGTATCAACAGCGGACTTCATCAGGACACTTTTCGCGGCGGTGTTCACGTTGCAGCAGGTACCAGCTTCCCAGCTCAAGATTGCCGGTGCCCTTAGATACCTGGTAGATAGTCTACGAAACCCATCGCCAAGTCACCAAATCCCTCAGGCCCTGTCCCAGCACAAGCACAGGTCAAGTCGGATCGGTCAAGCAAGAGGCCGGGTCCAGTATCTTACCCCAGACGGCAGGGCGCCACAGTTCACCTCCCCCTCCCCCAAAGAGACCAAGCGATTTGACGCTACGTATGGGATACGTACCTCTTCACAGTGTAGTGGACTGTACACCGCAGCGCCTCGCCTCGTCCACAGCCCAGCACTTACGTGCCTACCATCACTATTCGTACATACTGCTACTAGTACTACCTACCTGACTACGACAAACTACCTAGGCCCGTTTCCTACCAACATCTCAATCGCCTCTCCCCCAACCGTTGCCCGAATCCGACGACCAGATCACGACAATCGCCTCTCTTTCGCATCCCTCCGATCTTAACTTGCTTGGCACGTACGTCGCCCGGAGCAGCAATATCACCCCTTCAGATCGGCCCCCTCGGTTTAGTCCCCCATCAACACCCGCCGCCAAAATGTCGAGCAACCGCAACTACGACTTCCTTGTACGTGTCGAATGCCGGTTGCCCCTCCTTACCATCGTCCCGCCCTTTCCCTCGAGATACCCTCACTCCCTATGAATTCCGTCCTTTCGAAGATTCCAAGAGCAGACGCTGCCCTTTTTTTTTCCCCTTCCGAAATCACTACGGGCGGCAAACATGACATCGTGTTCACATGTGGCTGACCAGAACTCTAGATCAAGCTTCTGCTGATCGGCGACTCGGGCGTAGGCAAGTCCTGCTGCCTGTTGCGCTTCAGCGAAGACTCCTTCACGCCGTCCTTTATCACGACCATCGGTATTGATTTCAAGATCCGCACCATCGAGTTGGACGGCAAGCGTGTCAAGCTTCAGATTTGGGATACCGCCGGCCAAGAGCGCTTCCGCACAATCACCACCGCCTACTACCGTGGCGCCATGGGCATTCTCCTCGTCTACGATGTCACCGACGAGCGCTCCTTCAACAGTACGTCGCTACCCTTCCTTACATTGCGACTCACTTGCACGACTGCTGTCGGTTCCGTCTCGACCCGTGTAGTGGAGTTGTCATTACCAAAGCAGCCCTTGATGACAGGAGCCTTTCTACAAGAAGAGAAGACTAACGTGTACCCCTTCCACACAGACATCCGCACCTGGTTCGCCAACGTCGAGCAACATGCCACCGAGGGCGTCAACAAGATTCTCATTGGCAACAAGTGCGATTGGGAAGAGAAGCGTGTCGTCTCGACCGAGCGCGGTCAGCAGCTCGCCGACGAGCTCGGCATCCCCTTCCTCGAGGTCTCGGCCAAGAGCAACATCAACATCGACAAGGCCTTTTACTCCCTCGCCGCCGATATCAAGAAGCGTCTTATCGACAACCAGAAGAACGAGCAACCCGCCGCCTCGGGCGTCAACGTCGGCGAGTCAAGTGGAGCCGGCGGAAAGTGCTGCTAAAGTAACGAAACGGGGCTGAGCACGGGACGCTCGACTTTGTGCTGTGTGTATTTCCGAAAGCAAGATTTGATTACTTTGTGTCGATTTCGCGCTGCCACCAGGGGACAGCGTCGTCCTACAGAGGCACATGAGACGCGCATGAAAGAAGAGAGAGAGACATGGGCATATGGGGCTTCACAGCGGGTCTGCCTGCCGGAATGGACACGCAGAGAAACTCGGTGAGAGAGAGGAGGACATGACAGGGGCCAACCGAAAGGCAGGGCCGGGGCTTCCGGCGAGGCAATTGGCTGAGAAGGGAAAAACTTCGTGATGGGCCCGACCGGTTGGGCGTGCGCGTGCGTGTGTGCTCGATGACGAGACCACGACGGCGCTCGCTCACCCACCTGCCTGTTCCAAGGCCTCCTATGGGGAAGAAAGTACTGTGTGGTTATTTGTCATGTGGTTTCTTGCCGACAGCGCCTTTTCATCAACCCCCCTAGAGAGCAAATATCTGGTCTGGAGTTTCGGGTTTACATTTCTGGGTTTCTATAATACATACTTTTTTTCTCATGTGCTTCCCAATACGCCTGATGATGTTCTACATTTGAGGGTTTCAGCCTCTTGGTATATATGCTTCTAGTATATCATACAAGAGGGAACAGAGCCCATACTATACACTTTCATCGATGGTCGCTGCAACCTGCGACATCACCATACGACGTGCGTGTTCACAACGACACTCTGGTCATTTGTCAGGACGAGCTCCTTTCTGTGCCACGCGCGAACGAAACGTCTCGCTTCATGCACGTCCGGGAACGACACCACAAACCGAGCAGACGGTGCCGTCTCATCCAGCGCGTCGGGGGTGCCTCTCCGTCCCGAGTCAGCCCCCATCGCCGCCGGGGCTTCGTCGACGTCGTCGTACACGAGGCCTTCCGCGCTCTCCGCGGGTGATTCTGACGCCGTCACCGTCCTGCGGTCCACCTTGGGCGCAAAGTAGGCACGCAGGTGCTGCACCGGCCAGCCCAGGTTGCGGTCGCGAGCGTCGCGGCGGATCCAGTGGGAGAGGCTGCGCTGATCGAGAGTGCCGCCGTCGAGGGAGAGGACGACGTGGGCGTTTGCGCGCGGGGGCGGTTCGGGTGTCATACTTAGGAGACCTTGGATGCTAAAGGTCTCGAGGCGGGTTTCGGTTGCGCGGTTGAGCTTGTAGAGGTGAAGGCTTAAGGACGTCTTGGATGGGGCCGCGAGGCTGAAGGTTGATGTGTTGGAGGGCGCTGAGATGGATGATGTTTCGGCTGAGGTCAGACCGGCGGCGGGGGACGCGAGGGAGCGGCCGGCGAGGGCGTGGAGGCGCTGTGCTTCGCGCTGGTAGGCTGCTGCCGCGGTGTGGGAGTCGAAGAGGATGAAGTAGCGGTCCATGGGCTCCAGGGTGCTGTAGTCATAGGCCTGCATCACCTTGCGGATGGAGGCGCTCCAGCCGTCGAGATGTTGGCCTTGGGGACCGATGCGGTAAAAGTCAGTCTCCAGGAGGTTCGGGCTGGCGTTGGAGAGAATGAGCATGGCTGGGCGCTCTGCCTTGGCCGCCGCCGCTTCAGGGGACGCTGCTGCAGAGGAGGCGGTGTTGGCGGCGGCGTCGTCTTTCGGGAGCGAGTCGATCCAGGACTGGAGGTCGTTGTGATCTACAGATTTCTCTTCGGATAGGTTCTGATCGGCCTGGGAGTTCCTCAACAAGGCTTCAACGCCTCCTTTCCCAAATGCTGCTCCCGCCGTTGCCCCTGCCGTTGCCCCTGCCGCTCCCGATCCCGGTACCGAGAAGAGCTCGTTGAAAATGGAGGAGCTCTCTCCGTCGACGGCCTTGTCCTTTTTCTCCTTTTCCCGAGCTCGCGACTCGAAGAAGTCTGCAATCTTGCCGGCCGCTTCGCCTCCCGTCTTGCCTGATCTGTTCTTGCGCTCCAGCTGTCTCAATCTGTACTCTGTCGCCTCGGACTTTTCCGGGTCGGTGGAGGTCATGAAGCGGACCTTGACCTTGCCTTTGCTGTCTCCATTGGTATTTTCACTGTTACGTCGATTCGAGGAGGAGGACACATCGTTTGGAAATAGCTCCTCGAATAGCGAAGGCGACTTTGACTTTGGCTCCTCTCTTCTTGACGGTTTCTTCTTGCCCCATTGGTCCGGGGAGCTGTGTTGAGGTTGGGTCGAGAAGAGCCGCGTGCCGGGGCCGTGATCTGCTCGAAAGGACTGTCGAATTGTAGGTGTGGTCGTGTGCGGGAGCGACAGCTGCTGCAACAGCGGGAGCCGTCGTCGGGCTGCGATTGTGGTCATCCGGGCAACTCTTCGGGTCGAGCTGCGCAGCCCTCGGAGGTCAGCCCATTGCATGGGCCCGGAGGGAGTTGGGCTTCGTCGGGTCGGCGTACAAGGGGATAGAGAGAGAGAGACTCCTCGTATTTCGGTTGGCGTGTGTAGTTGAGCCTTTTTGTGGTTGAAGTAGTGAAAGTTGTTGTAAGTGAAGGAAGAAGTTTGGACGCTGGGCCTGACTTTCGTCCGCGCTGTGATGCGACGTTGGACAGGGCAGGTACGTACCCTCGACTTGAGCTGGTGTGGGGCCGCTGACTGGAGGAAATTTGGTCGGGCGTCGGGTCCTGGTGGAGGGAGGAGGGGTCTTTGAATTTTTCATGGCTCACTTACACGAAATATTGGTCGACTCACTGCGAAGACGTATCTACATGTCACGAGCTGAAGAAGAATATAGAAAATCACACAAATTACTTGAGAGATTTCTTCAAGACTTTGATACTTTCGAAAATACTATTTGAGTAAAAGTCGGTATTGTGCTTGTCACAGTGGCTTCTTAAAAACTCATCGTTGCCGGATCTTCTTGTCGCAGGGTTTTCTCGATGCCATACCCCGGTCTGGGCCCTACACCATTGTCAACTCATGTGGGCAGTGACGGATGAAGAGCAAACGTCGTCTGAACAACACAGATTCCTTCGACAGGCCGCAAGAGACGAAAAGATTCAGGAACAGGAGGGTTTCGACTTTTCTTTCTCTTGATCTAAAGTTTTCCTAGTGTCTCTCATCGAATCACACTGACCCGAAACCTGCTTGTCGAGCGGGCTGAGCACTCAGTGAGAGACTCACCGGGGTCAAGACGACGGCAACCAGGGGCCCGATACCAACACTGCCCGTCGGCTATAGCACAGAAGATGGTCAAGGCAATCGACGGAAAGGTCCGCCCCTTGGCGCCCTTTGACAAAACACTTGAAAAGTCGACGCTCAAGGGCGCCTCAAGAATCTACGTCAACCGGGACTCCCTGATCCAACTCACAGGGAGCGTGGACAACGGCCGGCGCTGCGTCGTCACGAGGACCGCCACTCAGGATGCAGCCAACTCTACCGGGACGGCAGCGGAGCCGCTGCGCCGGGAGGCCGCGCTCTGGACGCTCGCGGACAAGAATATCAGCCCCAACATCATACTCATGAGCGAGGCGTACCGCAGGGCCTGCGGGTTCGAGCTGGGCGACCAAATTACGATCACGATGACGGAGAGTCCCGTGGTACCTGACGCTGAGTCGGTGAGCGTTCTGCCTGAGACGACGTCTGAGAGGGAAAAGGCCGAGATTAGCGCATGGGAGGGGGCGTGGGTGGGAGTGATTCGGTTCTATCTTGGTGAGTTACTTAGTTCCTCCTCTTCGCAATTAGCAGCCTTTTCCGTACAATTCTTTCACGGCCTCTATGCGCGACAACATACTCACTCCCTGTACTCAGGGTGAAATGGCCCTCTTTATCATTTCAGTATTGGTGCGAGACTGGTTCTGACTCCTTTCAGGACGAGCTGAACAAGTTTTTCCGGGTATGAAATTTGAATGTGTGGCGCCTGGGTCCAAACAAATATTCAAGATCACATCCGTAGACGGCCAGACAAATAACGTAGCCCGTTATGTCGTTTCAACAATACCCACTATCATCTCGGGTGAGGATGAGGAGCCTGTCGAGGAAGTTCGCGACGTGACGAAGCTCGTCGTCCCGAATATCCCCGGATTGCACGCGGAAGAAAAGAAACTGCGGAGCTTCCTGCGCGGCTTCAACGCAAAGTTCGTCTACAAAGGCCAGCAAAAATCATGTGGAATCGTCATCCACGGCGGACGAGGGACCGGCAAGTCGTATATCCTGAATCGGATAGCGAGTACGGGCTGGGGTCGAGTCTTCCGGATCGAAGAAAACGACAAGTCGTCGACGGTCGAGGAGGTCTTCAAGCAAGCCCGGACGATGCAGCCTAGCATCATTCTCATTGATGGCCTCCAGGCCCTGATTGGAAAAGACCGGGCAAACTCCACGGCCATCACCCAGCGGTTAGGCCAGCAGCTCGATCAGCTGGCCGAGGATGCTCTCAAGAACGGTACACTACCAAAGGTCGTGGTCATCGCCACCTGTCTGGACTACATGACGGACGTACCTCCCGAGCTACAAAAGAGAACTAGATTCGAGCGGAACATCCCCCTCTCGATACCCAACGCAGAGGGCCGGCTCGAAATTCTCAAATCTTTTGAAATACCCATCCTACCAGAGGTCAAGGACGTGATGCTAGCCAAGCTCTCACAACAAACACACGCCTTCAACGCAAGCGACCTCGACAGACTTATCGAGAACGCAATGATCATCTCAGCAGAACGCCTCGACCCAGACGAAGCAGGCTACGACGAGGAGGCTCTGGGGCCCCCCTACCTCTCCCGCGAAGACCTCGAGCACGCCCTCCGCTCCACCAGACCAACAGCCATGCACGACGTGAACCTCAAGCCGCCCACGATCCACTGGCAGGACGTCGGCGGGCAAGAGAGCCTCAAGAACGCCCTGCGCAACATGATCACCCTCACAACGACAAACGACCCGACGGTCCAGAAGCTCATCCTCACACCGCCAAAGGGTCTCCTCCTCTACGGTCCGCCGGGATGCTCAAAGACGCTGTCGGCGCAGGCCATGGCCACCGAGTCCGGCTTCAACTTCTTCGCCGTCAAGGGCGCGGAGCTGCTCAACATGTACGTGGGCGAGTCGGAGCGTGCGGTCCGGCAGCTCTTCGAGCGCGCGCGCGCCGCGAGCCCGAGTATCATCTTCTTTGACGAGATCGACTCCATCGGCGGCCAGCGCGCCGGTAATGGCGGCGGTGGCGGTGCTGCAAAGAGCCAGGGGGCCGTCAATATGCTCACGACGCTGTTGACCGAGATGGACGGCTTCGAGGCGCTGTCAGGGGTGCTTATCCTCGCGGCGACGAACCGACCCGAGGCCATGGACCCCGCTCTCCTTCGACCCGGCCGCTTCGATCGGATCGTATACGTTGGTCCGCCGGATGCCGCGGGGCGAGAGGCCGTGTTTAACTTGTACCTGCGCAAGCTCCCCCTCGCGGCGGACGTGGACGTGGCGGAGCTGTCGAGGTTGGCGGAGGGCTTCTCGGGTGCCGAGATTAAGCAGATTGTCAACGTGGCAACGGAGCCGGCGTTGAGCAAGACACTGAGCAGGACGCATATTGGGGCCACGGAGGAGGGTGGCGGCGGCGGTGTCAGGTTGGACGGGGAGGCGGAGCAGGTGCAGGTTTGCATGGAGGATATCGTGGACGCCATCAAGTCTGTTCCCAAGGGTATCACGCACCAGATGCTGGACGGCTATGAGAGGTGGTCGAAGCAGTTTATGAAGCATCAGAACCAGAAATAGAAAATCATGACTGTTTACGATTTGCGTCTTGGCATCGCTTATTGTCCTCCTCTGAATCCGGTGGATGATGCTCATCGTCTGATAGCTCGATTTGCCTTTGAGTGATCACGACGTTTCTATGCGATCTCTCTGCGGCTATGCTAGAGAATGGGTGTATGTGGGTTGGGAGGGAAGCTGGTCTCCTTCAGGTCACTGTCTTCTGGAGCTAGATAGTATTTAAATTCAAGATGCTTCATCGACTGGCATATTCAACAGAACTGCAAAAGTAGACAGCTCGGATCCGTCGTCTCGGGCCCGAACTGCTCGAAAGGCTCATTTACGAATCGACTTGACTGACTAGTAAAATTTCACAGAAGATTGCGCCGAGGTTCTCACTTAACCGGACCCGAGATTCGCTTCGCATTAACCATTGAGTTGTCTCAGCATTGCGGCTCCGCAGACTGAACCAGCCGGGTGGTTTACTGACTGCAACTCTGAAGTTTGCTGGTGTTCTGTTTGCAAGACGGCATGCATCCAGTATAATACATGTAGCCACCCGATGTTGGACCAGCCCTGACATCAGACCATGCGCTATCTGTGCCGCAAAAGGCATGAAGTCAGCTATTCTCATAAGAGACTTTCACATGCTTCGATACGCTCACCCAATTGAGAGCAGCGGGACTGAAACTCTTTTTTTTTTTTTTCTCGAGATTGTTGGTGGTGCAACTTCTTGAAAAGCCGTGCTAGAGTCGTGATTGGCTACCGATGGATTGCATTGAGATGGGGCGATGCAGCGCCCCCTTTTTTCGCGTTAGTCTCTGGAACCCACGCATGACGGAGGATAATGGATCATGTCGACCAACATCTGGCGACGGCCACTGTAAGTTCGGGGGGTTCGAGTGATGATGATGTACGATTTGAGCAGAGGGTTGTCACGGCGCATCAGCTCACTGCCTACGTCCCAAATTGCCAACCCTTCCGAACCGGCACGGCTGAAGTTTACGCGGGCAATAAAGAGCCTCTAGACGCAGGGTACCTTGGTAGATAGATCTGGGGGTCCTGTCAGTGTCAGTAGAAGAGAGCACAAGTCAGGAACAAGATACCAGAGGGTGGATACCCAAAGTGCCTGATGTTTGGACCGAGCAGAAATCTATTACGCATGACCGTGGTTCGACACGTGAAATGGGCGGTGTGTGGGCACTAATTGGAGCGTGGCAATTGGTTCGATTGCAACGGCGTGAGCCGCCATGGAACGACTTGTCGTTGAGATCGCCTTCTGTAATTTTTCTGGATCCTCCGAGAGCTTCGCTTTTTTGTTCTGGAGGGAGGAGTCTCAGGGGGTTCATGTCTTTGTGACTTTGGAGTTTTGAACAGAGGATTCTTGGGTGGCTCGACTGACAAACTAAGCGCAGCAATAGGTACCTACCTTGATATACATACCATCTCATGTACCATAACTTAGCTCTACACTAGAAATTGTTTGACTTGTTAAGTTGTTCCTGCATTGACCGAAGTGTCAGTCAGTCAGTCAACGAGGAAACAACCATTGCGGAAAGAAACATTTTACCCCCCCCCCCCTGGCAAAAGGTTATGGTGCAGGGGCCCCAGCTAAACTGAATCGTCCACTCATCACGCTTCTTTTCCTTCTTTGGATTTCATCTGCCACCATATCGTTCGAGGCGGGACGTGAACGACAAGTCTAACCACCTCCCACCCCTCGACCTCTTCCAATCTCGCCAGGTCTTTCCATAAAACCCGATAGCGGCAACCAGTCTCACTTGCTATACTTCCCCCTCCCCTCCCGTTCTTCCTATCATCCAAAGCCAAACGCCTCCCCCAACGTTTCCAAGCGCACTCCCAACGACCGAATCCGAGGCTCCCCTCAAAGGTGACTTTCAACATCCCTTTTGCTGCCTTTCCTATCAAAGCATCATTTCGCACATGCACATTACGACAATCGGCAACACCACGATCTCCCCGCCACCCTACGCTTCAA